AAGCTGAAAACAGAAATTGAACTAAGTTTTTATGGGAATTTAAATGCTCAAAAAACCCTAAAATCTTTCTGGTTCCAAATTTCCACCATTTAAAACATGAAAAACAAACAATGCAAACCTCCACATTCCTTGATTTGTTCCTTGAGTTCTTAGAAAAAAACCATTTTCAAAAAGGTTCTCTATCCAGGTAAGACTCCAAAACTGGGCCCACATACATTTCATCTCCGGGTTTATATGAAGCAAACAATTTGGTCAAAAATTATGCAAAAAAAATAGAATGCCTAAGTAAATTACCACGCCACTCTTTACATAAAACTCTTTATATTTTGATGCGGAAAAGCATAAGATTGTTTGTCGAAGGTAAAATATGTCAGACTGAGTATTTCAAGTAAATCTTTTTGGTTTAATTATATATTTATAGAAAGATTTTTTTAGGTTGTGTTTTTAATAGCAACCATTAAATTTGTTTCAACTTTTGCAAAACGAAATGAAAAAAATATTTTGGGTTGATTTTTTTTTTCAAATCAAATTTTGCAGAAAAACTGTTATCAGCACCAGGGATTTATTTAAACGCGCAAGCGTGATTGTTGTTTTAGTGCGGCGCTCAAAAATGTTCCGCGCTCAAAAATATCATTGCAGAGTGGAACAACTTCCTTAAGACAAAATGTTTAAATTCTTAATCATTTGACGTTTGATGTTGCTTGTATAATACTGAAAAACCAAATGAAACTTTTTGAAAACTAAATTATTAGTTTTTAAATGTTTTAAATTTAATCTTCAAAAAAAAATTGTTTTGAAAAGCATTGGCAATAGTAAAAGATTTGTCCTACACTGATTTGTTTTTCTGTTCCGAACTGCAGTGCAAAATTTTCATTTCAGTCAAACACATATTTAAAAGTTTTTTTTTCAGGCAAGTTAACCAATCTACGACAATCTTTTTAAAATTTTTTTGAAGAATCGACAACAAAAAATCTTCGTTTGTTGTGATTTTGCTTCAGTCCAAGTTTGCAACCAAATTTTTTAGCATGATCGGAATTCTTTTTTTTGTTTTATATTATTTACTGTTCGAGAAAAACTATAAATATGAGTTTTTTGTGCCATTAGATTTTAGTGTTTTGTGGTTCGAGTTTCTAGATGCACAGTTTTTGTTTATAAACATATTAACTTATTGTTCCGACTTTCGATACGAAAGTAACGGAATATTTGTGCTCGGGGTGGGTTTTTTTTTCTTCAGACAAATTTCGACTCTTTAACTAGCCATTTTTGACAGAATTTTTTTATCATTCGAAAGATATTGTTGTCCTGAGCTCAAATTTGAAAAGATATCTTTACCTGTGATCATTTTTTGTTAAGTTACGGGGGTTTAATGATTGCCATTTTGGCCAATTTGGGACAATTAACGCGCGATATATTTCGCGTCATTAACGCGTAAGCGGAGAGTTAATCAATCTTAGAAATCGTTCCAAATTGGTTAAAAGAAGCCTATTTGCCATAATTGGTTTGTTATAAGGAGCGAAATCTATCCTTTTGTACTTTTTATGGGGGGATGATTTTTCTTTAAAAAATTTCAAATTTTAGAAATTTTTTTTTTCATTTTTTTTATTTCATTGAGTTTTTTAATGTTATTACCGCTCGATAAACCTTAAAAGGCAGTCGGAACATTCAGGGCTTCGCCCTGATACGAGTAGTCTTGTTTGTTATTTGCTTATTAATTTGTAGTGTTCGAGGCTACACATTGAATATGAGTGATTTGTGTCACCCAGCTCAGTTACCACAGCCTATGCAACTGCGCAATATAGCCCAAGTAAATCCCTTTCAATGTCAATATTGGCACTTTTACATTTTAGACAACTTTAAAGTCAAGATTGAATTAAACGAAAGGTGTTGTCGACACTTGCAGTTTAGCACACAAGATTCAGTAACTTTATGGAAATTAGGGTTCAAAACTTACGAGAAAACAAAAACATTTGAAGAAATAGCTAGGCGTCTTAATGTTATAGTTAAATAAAGGAGAATGGTCAAAATTTCAGCTTAATACAAAAACCTCCTATATCTACGAAGAGAACATCAGACGCGGACATTTTCTGATGCGAAGACGCGTGATATTATATATTGAAAGCAAGGGAAGACATACTGAGTAATAAATGATAGAAAAAAAAGAAAATCCGGTTGTTTCAACTATATATTCATAGAAAAATTCTCTAATATTGTGTTTTAAAGAAGCCCTTATAAATTTTGTTTGATTTCTGCAGAAAACAATGAAAACTAATGCTCGGTTTGTTTTCCAAATCAATTTTGGCGATCAAAATGAACACATATTTGGCGACGCTTTGAGTTTGTTAGCCGTTTTTAGGAAACTAAACATGAAAGCTTGATTGAGATTTGAGTACAACAAAACGTTCCGCGCCCGAAAATTCATTACAGACTGCAAATTAATGGGTCTCAATAGTTCCTCCAAGTCAGCAATTTCATCATTCGATGATTGATATTGTTTGTAGCTGACTGCAAAACCAAATCAGACTTTCGAAAAATTTTAGTGAAAAATTCTGAGTTGTTTCTTACTCAGAATTTTTCACTAAAATTTTGAGTGATTTGATTAGTGTTTCGTGTTTTAACTGACCATACAACTTAATGGCCAGGTTATTTTATTTCTGGCCATTAAAATAACCTGAAGGGCAGTGGCAATATTCAAAGATTTTCGCTGAAATGAGATTTTTATTTATTGCGAACTGCAGTACAATGCCAATTTGCGTTTGAATCCTTTATTCATTACACTTTACCGCCTTTTTTTTCATTTTTTTGTTTTCATTTAAATAAATCGATCAACAACAATTTTTAAAAAATGTTTCGAAAAAATATAGAATGAAAAAATTATGGAGGGGTGAGATTTGCATCATTCCAGTTTCTTTGATTAATTTTAAAATGTGATTAATTCGAATGTTTTAGGGTACGTTTTTGTTTACTTTTAGGGTACGCGGTAACTTTTTTATTTCACGCGGTGGAAAACCAGGTACCACACAAATGTCAAAATCTTTTCTTGTTTCAGGTTTTGCCTTTCTATTCTTTTTACAGCCATCAAAGTTATTGAGTAAGGCAAAAAAAATTAAATTCGCAGAGTAAAACTTGTTTCCAAATTTTTTCTAGTTCTTTATTGAAATCGAAGGTTTCGCTTGTGGCTCTATTATTCATTTTTGCAAAACTATTCTGGCCAGTTACAGTCATCAGTCTTTTCTACTGTTCTTAAAAACTTTCAATTCTTTTCAAAAATCTAACTAGAGTGCAAAAAAAATTTTTTTTTTGGTCTTATCTTTTTCCGCATTAACGATGATTGAAAACTTGTGGCTTAATTGCATTCATGTTGGTAGTTTGTTTAATCTTTCTATTGTGTAATTTGAGTAGTTTTTTTCGCGTTAACGCGCTGTGATTTGATCATAAAGGTTCATAACATAAATTAGACCCCAAATTGGCCGTTTTTATTTGAAAAAAGTAGTTCCGCTTTCTGAAGACAAAACTGGAGTAATAAGGCCAAGAACGATTCTTTTTCAACAATAGCTTTTGCTTCAATTTTTTCCAGTGGCGCGTGTTTCTAAAATTGGCAGATTTTTTAGAAAAAAAAGCTAATTTATTTTTTTGTTTGGATAGAAAAATAAAGCTCTTACAGCAGTGTAAAAGTGAATTGAATTTGGGCCAGGACCCTCATAATTCATTGAAACGTGAGGAAAAAACACGCAATTTAAACCCGTGTTAATGTCGCAGCATCAAGCATCCCTGATTCAGCAGTGTCTCATAATAATACAACTTCCAGTGTTCAATCATTGTTAGTTCAGTGAAAAATGCAGCAATACTTCATCGATAACTGAGTGTTTTTTAAAAATCCGCAATAGAATTCTGTCAAGTTTGATTTTGAGTCTGAAGTTATTATTTCAAGCAAAATAAATGCTGACTCTCTTTTCTTCAATCAAAAAAAAATAATTTTTTAACATGTTGATCTGAAACAATTTTGCTTCAATCTGACTGGCTAGAAGTTTTCATCTGACTTACAAAAAGGCCGAAGTGGCCGAAAAAACTAGAACACTTGCTAAACTATTCAAATTTAAATCGACTAAAGTGCAAAATTTTACCCAGACCAGAAAAAAATAGCTCCAGAAAAAAGACCAATCAATAAAAAAATGACAAAAAAAAAATTCGACCCTGATAGAAGTAAGCTTGAGAGTAAATGATCGCATTTGAATTAACCAAACCAATCAGTGCAATCAGTGTACTGTTCTCTGCATTTATACCTTGAATAATTTAAAATCGCAAAATTAAGAAATTTGGGTGTAATATGTAAAAAGACCCAAATTGCTTACTATACTGGGCTATTATTAAGTAAAATCAGCTTTTTTTAAATAAATCGGGGGACAGTGGGGTAAAATTCGATCCCCGTGAATGTTTTTTTTTTTGAATTCTGAAAAAAGAACGAAATCCAGCGCTGATTCGAATCAGCGCTGGTTTTCTTTTCAGAAAGACCTCGACAGTCAGGGACTTCGACCCGGGTCAGAAAGAACTCAGTGCTGATTTCAAAAACTCATGTTTGATTCAAAGGTGGTATCAAAGTTGATTTGTCGATGTTGCAGTCCTGATCACGGATAACGTGGGGCTGATCCAAACCTAAATCAGCGCTGGCAAACACTAGTTTTTCTCTGAAACAGTGAATTTTATCTCTGGCGGTCAACTCGAGGTTTCAGCAAAAGATTTGCGGCTTGTCTTGAAACATAAGAAATATGATCATTAATTTATAAACTGAACAAAGAAACAAGAAGTCTTCACTGATAAGCGGCCCAAAAACACAAAATTCTTTATCGCAAAAGCGTTCATTTTGAGTTTGAGTGGTTTCATCCAACAAATTTAAGAACAATGATCAAATCAAGAGAGCAGAAGTCTGAAGTTTGGGCCGCCTAATAGAAAATACACAAAAAAGTATTACCTAGTAAAATATTATTAAGCTCAAAATAGTCCTTTCAACTGGCGTTCCAGGCCGATGCGGATACGCGACGTCCAGTTGTTGAATCGTTCCGCTGATTGCCAGATGCCGAATTCGACTGATCACCCGCTCTGCTAGTTGAACTGCTACCATTGTCGTCATCACTGAACTGCACAGAGCCCCCTGATCCATATTCATTGCTAGAAGAAGAAAAAGAATCCGTGTTACCGTCCCAATCAGAAGCCCCAACGACGCGCCTGCTAGCAGAATTGTTTTGTTCCGACTGATTAGCAGAAATGTTTCTTTCCGACTCATTAGCAGAATTGTTTTGTTCCGACTGATTAGCAGAAACGTTTTGTTCCGACTTGCTAGTTGACTTCTGACTATTCTTTGTTCGAGTCGTAGAACCAACTTTGCTTATGTTGTCTAAATCTTGAGTCCCAGATTGTTGTCGGTTTGAACTTGCTGTTGTATTTCCTCCCCAAGCCGATGCTGAAACTATGCGCTGATTGTTTGACTCATTTGGCCCAGAACTCATTGAAGTCTTAGGTTTATCATATACTCGGCTTGTTGAACCTGCGCTGCTTTCATGGTCAAAGTTTTGAGATGCCGATTTTCCATTTGAAACAGAATCGGTGTTGCCTCCCCAAGCCGAAGATTTAATTTCTCGTCGATTAGCAGATGTTTTAGAGTTTGAATTTACAGTCGTGTTTGGAACATCGAATGTTCGGTTGGCAGAACTAAGACTGCTCTCTCTTTCCGAGCTGTGCGAAGATATTTCGTCGCTGTAAGAGTTAGAAAAAGAGTCTTTGTTGCCGCTCCAAGCCGAAGACGAAACGACACGCTGACCAGAATGCTGCAAAGAATTGGATCTATCCGAATTTTTTGGCACATCGAAAGTTCTGTTGATTGAGCTTACAGAACTTTCTCTGTCGAAGCTACTAGAAGCCACCGAAGAAGCAGCGTTGCCTTTGAAATCGGAAATTGTCACCTCTGGTTGTTTGGAAGAAACTTGGGAGCGATTGTCTTCGCTGTTTTGAAGAGTTGCCGAGCCATTAGAAAACGAGCTTCCAAATGTCATCGAATTTTTGTTCAGAGAGTTCCGTCCGCTGAGCGTTTTTGAATCTTTGACCACTTTGTATGGAATGCTGTTTCGCTGAGATCTACGATCTTCGTCAGGGACTCTAGAAACAAAATAAATATTTAGTCTAGCTTTTGAAGCACCAAATATTGAAAATAGCACTTTTTAACAGCTGCTTACAAAAAATTAAAATCTGAAAACTTTTGCCGATTTGAGGAGAGATCAGAAAATATATTTGGTCGAGCTTCACAAAAATTCGACAGGATTTTGAAAAAATTTCGAAAAATATAATCCTCTCTCGCCCTTCCAGAAAAAGATATTTTTCCGCCCTCGGCGCCTAATCAAAATTAGAGTCTGTACTTACTCAAAAGGGTTTGTGCTATAATCAGACTCAGATAATCGGCCCTCGCTTTTTCGGCTCTTTGATGAGCGGCTGCTGATTGTTCGGTTGACAGTTGTTCGGTTTTCCATTGGTTCAGTTTCAGATCTTCGATTCTCAACTGATTGTCTGGTTATTTCAACGGAGCTGGAATTCGATGGACTGAAAGCTGACTCTTCTTCAAAATAATCGCTTTCTTCGACTCCATTAGTGACTTCTTCCTCGTTTTCTTCGGGCGATTCTTCAATACGATCAAACGAGATCGTGTTCTCTGAAGGTCGAACTCTACTTCTAAAAGTTCCTCTTTTATTTTGGCTTCCCTGAGAAGTTGACCTTCGGTCTTGACTTCCCTGAAAAGTTGACCTTCGGTCTTGGCTTCCCTGAAAAGTTGACCTTCGGTCTTGGCTTCCCTGAAAAGTTGACCTTCGGTCTTGGCTTCCCTGAAAAGTTGACCTTCGGTCTTGGCTTCCCTGAAAAGTTGACCTTCGGTCTTGGCTTCCCTGAAGGGTTGTCCTTTGAACTTGGCTCCTTGACGATGCTTTACAGTAACAACAACCATCATTGCCCTTGTTTAAACCGCAGTAGCATTGACCTTCTCTTGGTGAAGAGCTTCGAAGATTGCCTCCGCAAAAACAGAAACCTCCTGATTTTTTGTTTCCAGTTTGAGTTGAAGTCTCGCAACTCCCCCTCCTTCCGGAACCTAAGGCGCCACTTTGAGCACAGCACGTGCATCTATCGCCTTTACCCGCCTTATCACACAGACACGTTTGCAGGACTTTCACTAGATCCCTTTTTTTAGTAGGTGATGTTTCTTTGGCCCATTTTTCCACAGCTAGAAAAGACAAGTTATCAATTACGTACGCTATCTCGTGCAACTCTAAGCTATTGGTTGCCCGAATTATATTTTCAATTGGAATTGAAGTAACTCCTGCGTTTCCTAAGGCATAAAATTGATCTCGCGGACTCAAGTCTAACAACGCATCTGAAACAGTATCGCGATCTAACTTAACGTGTAAGCCATGATAAAGGTCTAGTTTTTCTAAATGAGGCAGCTGGGATCCCGTTCGTTTCATATCTTCCAACGATGGTGGTTCCCATTTTGCCGACGATTTGAGAACCTCTTTGATCTTTGGTTTTTCCAAATCACTCGCCGCTTTGAGCAACTTAGTCTCTGCGTTTTGAGGAATCTTGTTTGATAGAATTTCCAGCTCAAGGTCGGAAAGCTTGTACAAAACATTGAGAGCTTCTTTAGCGGTTTCTGGAGCTTCGATGCAACATTCGCCTTCGTCGTTTTTATCGCCTCGACCAGTTGTTCTAGATTTTCTCTGGTTATCCGCATAGTTAAAGGAACAACCGCATTCCTTGTCTTTCATTTGTGACTGATACGTCGACTGGCTCGGCCGTCTAGTTTCTGCGTTCCGCCCACACATGCATCCCGGGTCGTCACCAGAGGCAATTTTCGAAGCAAGAATCGGATTCCGTTCCAACCTTTCTGGGTCATACGGGCAAGTTTGTTCGGCCTTGCTTCTTCGTTTTGGGTCGTATCGCGATGACTTATAGTCGGCTGATCGGTTATAAGACAGGTCGGAACTAGTTTGGGTGCTGGAACTTTTTGATGTTGCAAAAGTGACTCGTCGGCCAGAGCTTCTTCTTTCGCTTTTCGTTCGGCTTTCTGCCAGTGGTCGACTATCGTAATATTGCCAATTGCTTTCGTTTTTATATTCGTCACTGTCTAAAACAATATCTTACTTTTTGCTTTTCAAAATAAAATTGCGAACGGAGGATTGCATAATCTCAAAAACATCATAAAAATGAGTTTATTAAATTTGAATTGAATTCTGATTATTTCTCGCACGTAACCTTAATATTATTTTAGCCAATGTGCTCAAAACTCAATATTTATTATGAAATAATTCGTTTCTCTTATTGTCACAATCGGGCAGAATTGGAAAAAAAAGTTGAATGTCTCTAAATGGACAATTTTAATTTGTTCTCTTTTTAAAGCATTTCAGGGTTCTCTAGAAACAATCTTCTGTGATATTTTCTAAAGATGAGTCATCCTTTTTTAAGATTGTTAAAAAATCCCAATTTAGATTAGAAGTAGCTTCGAGTACACACCAGTTGAACATTTACAAGATAATTCGCAGCAGTCGTAGACTTCATCTTCATCTTCTATCCCTGGTCGAGGTGCTCCGCTTATAATTGGACTTGTTTGGCCAAATTTTGGTCTACTTCGAGCGGTCACGTCCCATATAGTATAGGTTTCATTGGGCATAACTTTTGTAATGTGCCATTGCGCATAATTTTTTGTAACTATATACGTGATGGACAAAAATTTGGACAGAAATTTAAAGCCCCCCTCCACTGACGTGTCATTGCTTGATCTGAACAATAATCACCGCGCAAATATATATTTAACGGAACACCTGGAAAACTAAACTTCAAGAGATGCTCACAATTTTGACCGCGTCGACCAAAATAAGGTACAATTTGACTGTGAATTGGCAGTTTTGTGACTAAAAATTAGCAGTCGGAAGCAATTTTTAGTCAAGAAAAACTCGACTTCGATCGAAGCGGTCTAAAGTTACAGAATTTTGGCAGAGAAAATAGAAACATAAGCCAAGCACCTCGATCCGGAATCCCAGTCGGTTTATTGTAATCTTCTGCTGCAATTATCGTCTTCTGCCGATGAGCAGATTTACCTCGCGAGTCTACTTGTCGTACTGGCTCTATTTCTTCTTCTGATCCGGATGAGTAGGAATCAGAGGAGTGCTTAGAGAACTCCAAGTCGCCCGTCAGTTCCGAATACACGTTCTGAAAAGTAATATTTCGAACGAAAAACCTTTTGAAAGTTAAATTTTGCAGTTCAATTTTGATAGCTAAATATTTTTCGACTACTGGAATTTTTTCCTTAAAACCCAAAAAGAGAATGATATGAGCCAGCAACGTTCAGAAAATTTAGTAAGTTTCTAGTAAGGAAAGTCTTGTTTCCTCAACAGACGCTTTTATGTCCGAAGATAGTTTTGGCGGTGACAGATCATTCAGCATAATGGTTTAATAACAGAAAATTCAACCAAAAACAACATATTGAGAACAAAACCGACAGACAAATAGAACCGACTCATGAACGCAAGTAAACGGAAAAAAAATCACTGCTTTCGTAATTGAAAGAAAAAAATTGATGTCCTTAAAGCTCTTTGAATTTCTAGAATATCTCATGATGGACTCTTTTGTGATAAAATGAGCCCAATTTGAGACAACTGGATCAATAGATAAAATTTTCATTTCACTGTGAAATCTGATAACTAGATTCCATTACCGAAATGAAAAGCAACCACGTTTTTCATGTTCATTGCACTTTCGCTGTTTGATAGTGAATTTTGTCTTCCTTGTAACAGATCAAAATTTAAGCCGCAAAAAATGTAAAAGTGAGCCTGAACAAGAAGTGTGTTGGGGTAGTTTTAAATGAGTGTACAAAAAGATCTTGACGTTGGAAGGATTTTTGACGGCTAAAATTATGATTTTTTGATTTTGCTCAAAAAACGCTCACCATATAGATTGTACAATAAACAATTTCCATTGAAAAACCAAAATACAATTAAACATTGTTTGGGTAGTTTTAAAATGAGTTTAAAAGAGGTTTTGAGTGGTTGAAATCATTTTACTAACGAAAATATAAAATTAGTTTTTGTAAAAAAATGCTTACATGAAAACTGTACATAAAATTTTTTCCATAGAAAACTTTTATTAATCAAAAATCATTTAGAAACAGGTTTTGGTAGATTCAATTGAGTTTAGAATAGGGTCTTGCTGAATCAGAACATTATGTAACGGAATAATTGTGGTCGGGGTGGGTTTTTTTTCTTCAGACGAATGTCGACTTTTAACTAGCCATTTTTGACGGAATTTTTAAATATCATTCAAAAAGTACTGTTGTCCTGGGCTTAAATTTGAAAACATTTCACCTGTGATTTTTTTTTCAAGTTATGGAATTTTAAATTTTGCCATTTTGGCCAATTTGGGACATTTAACGCCCGATTTCGAGCTATTAACGTGTAAGCGGAGATTTAATCCGGTGGCAGGACAACCTACCCTATTCCAAACTACCCTATACCATTCTACCCTATGCCATTATACCCTACACATCAATCTACCCTATAATAATCTACCCTATATTAATCTGCCCTATATACCAGCTTAACCGGTGCCTAATTAATGTAATCTTTCAAAGTCCTATTTAGAATCGGAAATATAGCAGCACGTGTTATTTCATTTGAGTCTACATTTTTGGATTCAATTTGAGTATTTCACTTAAGGATATTGTTCTAATGACTAAATCGCAATTTAAGCCTCAAAATCTGAAATTTGACTCAATTAACAGGTTTTAATCCCCAATTTTCAAAATCACGTACAAAATTGAAACCAAAACTACATCATTATATCAATTTTCCTTGGAATAACTTTTACCAAAATCACCGAAAACACCGAGCCTCACCGTATTCTCCTCGATTTTGAACGTGCAGCACTAAACGCTTTCGCTAGTCATCATACGGAGCGTTGCTGAAAGGCTGATTTTTTCATTTATGTCAAGCGTTCAACCGGAAAATAAACGAAGTTGGCCTAAAGCGACTGTATGAAACTAATCACGATCTCAATTTGCCGTTGCGCTTAATTCCAGCTCTAAGTTTTGTACCAGTTGAATTAGTCAATGCTGCTTTTGACTTGGTTATCGAGGAAATCGAAAAAGTGTCTGAAAAATTTGATCTCGACGACAACATCTCTGAAAAACTTGATGAGGTAGCCTCATACATCCAGCGCACCAAAAGCGAAACCATCGGAAGGAATTCTCGCGACCCTCTCTTTCCAGTAAACCTTTGGAATCATTCCGAAGCAGCTGCTGGGTTAATAAGGACAACAAATGCTGTAGAAGGCCGGCATCTTGGCGTTGCTACTCTCTTTAAAGGAAAACATCCATCCTTTCACACATTTCTCGAACAAATCAAATTAGATGCTGCCAATCAAAAATTCAATATAATGAAAGCAATGGTGGGAAACAGCAACCCCAGTCGCAAGAAGTACTGGGAATTGAATGAGAAAGTGAAAAATTTTTGCAACAATTTTAACAAAGATCTATTTTAATTGCCAGAATTGATTTGCTAATAGGAGCGGAATCTATCACTTTGTACTTTATATGGCATGTGGGGCTTGATTTTCACAAAAAATCTCAAATTAAAAAAAAAGATTTAGTTTTACTTTTTTACATTTAATTTTTTCTTGTTATTACTGCTCCATAGACCTCAAAGGCACTGATAGAAGCAGTCTTTTTTAAAACTTATAATTTAATTCTAGATTATGGAAAAAATGCCTGTCATAATACTACATATAGAAAAATTCTTAAATCGTGCTATTTCCATATTAATTTTTTAGTCTATGAAAAAATATGATAAGCGTTTTGTCAACCGGGTAGATGCATGCCTGGTCAAACGTTAAAAATAATGACGTCAAAGATGCATGCCTGGTAGAAAGTGGTGGTTTTGTAGGACCCAGTCAACTCCTCCGATAGTCTTTCGGGGACACTCTTGCTCTTGGAGGACAGGAGATCCGAGTCGTCCACTCCACTGATTTTCTCCTCCGTGTTAATCTCCTTCTCAATCTGAAAGATTCTTTGGCATCTCAATTAGAAAACATCAATTTTTTTAGAACAATCGAGTATATAAATTACAGAGCCAAGTTATGCCTAGAAAGTTCGCATTAGTCATATTATTGTAGCACAAACGCGGATATACGATTTCTTCCTTACATAAATTATGACACAATCTTTTATTTTGATCGACTAAATTGATTTTCCAACCTTTGGCAGAAGACTATAAAGATCCAATTTTGCCCAAAAACTTGCCCACGCAGCCGAGTTTCCGAAAAAAAATTCAAACACGGGGTGTCTTTTTGGGGTGTATGTGGCCACCCGTGCTATCGGATCTAAACCAACTTTGCTTCCGAATAAATCATATTCTTATCGGAACATACCTGAGTGAAACTCTCCCGTTTCGGTTCTGGAACTTTAGTCATAGTCTTCGTAGTTTTCGTAGACTTGGACGCTTTCAGACTCGGAGTAGACGTGCGATAGTTTCGTGACCGCACAGTTCCACCTCCCAGGGGGGCTCCACTGCCACTCCCGGACCCCGTCTGAAATGACCCCGATCTTGTACTCTCCTCCCCCTCGTCATCTTCCCCTTCGTCGCCCTCCTGCGCCCACCCGGTGGACTCGGTGGAGTCCCAAGTGACGAAGTCTGTATTGGTATCCCTGCTGCTGGAGCCATCTTTCCCAGATTTAGCCCCTCGACTCTTCCGACTCTTGTTGGAAGTAACTGGCTATTCCCAATCAGACATATTTGACCCGGTGGATTGGACTAAACTGTTTCAAAGCTTGAACAAGGTTATTCTTACATGTACCATACAATATTCCGATCACGGCAATTAATGAGAAAAAAAATTTAAAATGCGGAGAATTTTTCATATTCTTTTATTGAATTTATGTTGGCTCCAAATGAGCAAATACAAAAAATTGAATTTGAATATTAAAGTTGAAAAAATGTCAAAATATTAAATTAACGCCTAAATATGGTTTAAAACTTTTCCTAAAACAAAGTGGAAATGGTGGTTCACTGAGCTGCGTTCCGATTCCTTGCTGAAATTTAGTCTAACTATTCTTTTATAACACCGTGAGACAACTTTTTTTCAGAAGTTTTCAGAATCCAAATCGCGCTAAAAAGTTTTTATATAATCTAAAAATCGTTAACATCTGATGTTTATTTGTTGTTCCCAGGGGGCGGATCTAGGATTTTCTCGAGGGGTCGGGTCGGATTTTCAAAAATTGCCGAAAATTTGTCGACTTTTTTAGTTTGACCGAATGGATTTTCCGAGCTCTGCAAAAGCACTATGAGTACCCTGTTTCGGCAAATTGTTTGCATCACAGGTGAATTTTTGTAAAAGCAACAGACAAAAAAGGCGTTTTTAGCACTATTTGGACAGTTTTTACCAAAAAATTGCGTTAGTAGTATTGTATCGTGTCCCGGATCCTAAGGGGGGGGTCCTTCCTAAGGGGGGGGTCCTCACGTAAAGCAAAATCCTAGGAAAGGGGTCCTTAATTTTTTGGAGGACCCTCATCCTAGGATTTTGTAAACGAAAGAGATTTTCCACCCAAAAAGCAGAAGACCCCCTACTTAGGATCTTGCTAAGTTTAGCTTAACAACAAGGGACACGATACAAAAATCTTTCTAATTCCAAATTTTGGGGTCCCAATTATTGGTCCTGATTAATTATATGAATCATATTAATTGTTATGCTTGTTTAGGGTAAATGAACTTTCGACCTAGTTGAAATTTGTTAGTGAACGGGGAATTGACTTTTATGGTATATAATAAAAATTCGCCGGCCATTTTGGCAGCGTAGCTTAACTGTTGGCAGCAGTAAACTAATTCCTTAACTTGACCTAAATTTTATGGTGAAAAGGCAGTAAATTGAAATTACTCTCAAAAGGCGGCGGCCGTTTCTGGGCAAAATATACCAAATGATAAAATTGTCAAATTTTGAAATAAGAAAAATGAAATTAGAGGGAACTTGGTGTACTGAAGATATTGATAATGAACATTTACAATTAAGAGTGTTTTCAACCGCAGAAAAAAACTCATTTTTCAAATTATGTAATGAACGCTACGTCGTCTTCCTCGAAAGGGCAAAGGAAATTTCAAAGAAAGAATACGAGTTGATTTTCAAAGAACAATTTTATTTGAGTGAGCTTCAACAAATCTCTTGGTGCATTTCTACAAAACAAAAGTATGGCACTGTGAGCGATTTGAATATTGCTGATTATGAAAACGTTTTCGACTATTCGTTTGACTTTAACTCATTATGGGTTGATAAAGACTTGGAGAGAAAAATCCGTCTATGTTTCAACAAGCTATCAAAATACAAAAAACTTCCGGTGGTTTATTTAATTATTTACCACCGTTATCTTAATGAGTCTAAATGGTATTTGCAAGGTCACTTTTATTTCCACTGGCTTGAAATTCAGCAGGTTGGAGAGGTGTTGGAAAAAATAAATAATGAAATTGCAAAAAAGCAGAGTAACTCCTATTGATTTGAAAATAATTCACGAAATTTATACGTCTTTGAAACAAACTTATCCTGATAATTCTAACCGACGCAACTATTTTCTAGCTGCATGTTCTCTGTTTTTTGTTAGTTCTGATAACCTTAACTACGACATTTTAATTAAGTTGAGACCTTATGGTGGCTTGATTGGTATTGATAACTCTTCCTTGGACAAATATTTGAAAAATTCCAAAATTTTACGATTGCACGCTATTTTGCACGATGCGGCCGGATTTATACACGAATTTTATCAACAGGGTCCCACGTACTGTTACATGTTGCCCTGGAACTGTAACAACAGCTTATTGGGACATTTGAGTGGAATAGCGTTCTGCCTTTTCATTAAGTTGAAAAAACCAGAAGTTTATCATTTACTAGAATGCTAGGCGAGAGATCAGTTGTGCTTGACGTGGAAGGCTTTCGTTACAAGAAAAACGCCTTTGTGGTTAAAGAATTAGCAATAACAACTTCAGACTACAGCGATCGACTCATTTTCCTACCTCCAGTGAATTTCAATATACTACCAAAGCTTGAACAAAAAGCTTACAACTGGTTAACTAATTATTTACACGGTCTCCATTGGGAAAACGGTGATTATCTTTATATAAACTTGAATCAAATACTTCAGAGTTTTGTGCTGAGAAATCCTGGTGCCGTTTTTTACGCTAAAGGAAAAGAAAAGACAGAATTTTTGGCCAAGTACTTGGACCGAAAGATTGAAAACCTAGATGATTTGGGCTGTCCTCGGGTTGAAAACTTATATTTTAAAAATTATCCAAGTTGCAATAAACATATTCCACATTACAACTCCAGGAATCATTGTGCCTTGAAGAAAACCAAGGTTTTTTATGATTGGTTGAAAAATGAACAACAGCGAGAGATCAGCGAAAGTGGAGACATACCTATCACAAAATTCAATGCTTTGTGCGTGGATGACTCCAGAGGGTGATATTAAAATTTCATTAACGAGAATAGAGCGTATTGATTGCAGTGGCCAAATTGTTCAGAGGAAGGAGCAAATAATAATTTCCGAAGAAGAGTTGTCTACGTTGAAGAGGTTTTTTCCAGTTATTGATCAATTTGTATACTTCCAGAGATTCAAGTTTATCAGAAATGTTAGCCAGCAAGCGAGGAGTATGTCTTCCCGAACTAGTCTTAGTACCCAAACGTCAGCCAGGAGTTCAGATGGATCTAAACAGCAGTGAATTGCCAGATGAGATTAAGACGATTGTGAAAGAGGATACTGTGAAGAAAATAATGTACTACAAAAAAACCGCAAATATCCCAGCAAACTTTGTTTTAGAAATGCATGACATAAATGATAGAGATTTCACACGTTATGAAATTTTTTACTGTTCTCAAAAGTAATTTAATTTTTTACAAGCTTCATTCGCAGAGAGAAAAAGTCTAACGCAGTCTGTAGAATAAATAGTTTCTCAAATGTCAGAAGCAACAATAGCAGTAGATGAACCTGACGCAACATTAGTAACAGAGTTTTTTGTTTATAACGAGACAAACAGTGAAAAAAAATCATGGAAGTTTTGTAACAATGTAACTTTGCCAAGGTCTGAAGTAGCTTTTGTTGCGCAAATGGTAGTAATTCTAATTTTACTAACTTTCTGCATTCTCAAACTTTCTTTCACTAAATTAAGTTGCGAAGAAACGTCAGTTTGGTTCTCGATTTTATCAGGCTTGGTTGGTTACGTACTACCAAACCCAAGAATATGAATAAAGTGATTGATACTTCGACAAGAATTTTTATGGCGATAGTGGGACCTTCAGGATCCGGGAAAACTGAGTTAATTTTGAAACTTCTGATGGGAAATACTTTTTACCCTAAATTTGGAACCGTTCTATATCTTTACAAAGAGATGCAACCTGCATTCTCAGAAAAAGTGTCTTCTCGCGAAGTGAATATGGAGTTCATGAAATTCGACGGATTCGAATCTGTGAGAAAATTAGAAAATGTTCTTCTAGTTTTCGATGATTCATGTGAAGACATCTATAATGACAAGGAATTTGTTAGGTTAGCGACAGCGGGTAGACATAGAGGGATAGATGTAATATATGTTAAGCATAACTTGTTTCAACAAAGTCGATGGTCGCGTACGATTGATTTGAACACTTCACACATCATTCTGTTCAAATCGCCTCGCGACGTTCAGCAACTAGATCTATTAGGAAGACAATTGAATGTATCAAAATTTTTGAGAAACTGTTACGAATTAGCTACCAGAGACTCTTTTGGACATCTTCTAATCGACTTGGACCCCCGTACATCAGATTGTTTGAGATATTGTTCAAATATCACACCACCTGGGCCAACAGTTTTTTATTTACCCTTATCTGAAGCAGAAACTACTCCAATCACAAATGAAAAAGAAAAACTTATCTATTCTGCGGCATATGGTACAACTGAAACCTGACCAGCTAAGAAGATTAATTAGAAAAACTTCAAATCGTGAGATCATAACACTTGTTTGTGAATGTTTGCTCAATGTAGTCAATGGAAACGTACCCGTTAAAATCGCAAACATCGAACGATTCGAGACAGCATACAAATACTTATTAACTCCAAAAACCAGTGTTGTCAAAAAACGTGCGATTATTTTGAGTAAAGAAGGCTTCCATTTAGTTCGACAAATACTTTATTTTTGTTACAAGTACCTCACAACTTAATGATGACTGCTGAAGAATTCATTCTAATTCCGAAACATTTATATGTTAAAGAGCAGCCACATGCTGCACGTGTTCTTCATGATAATAATATTAAACATAAAAACGCTCAACTGTCCTATCTTAACCGGCTTAGACCCCAATTACCTCCACAAACTAGTAAGACTACTGCAACGAAGGAAACATTTACGGATAATGTTGAGCCCCAACAAGAACAGCTTAAACTGTTAACGGACGATGAAGAAGTACCGGTCGAACGTGTTAAAGACGAAAAACTAGAAGAGAAACACAATAGACAGACCGAAAGCATTTTAGGACAGTTACAAGTTTTAGAAGACAAAAAATTTGTTAGAGCAAAAACCGTACTTGAAATTATAGAAAATTCAGAAAGAGTAACCATAAACCATGACAATGAGGTGATATATGTAGATAAAGTACCAACAGGACTTAAAGCTACAATATTTTTATACGACATACAACAACCAACGAAAAAACTACACAATCCGGCGTTCATTAACATTTTAACTGCTCTCAACTTGAAT